TTGGGAAACCCCCATATAACCCCTCAACTCTAAACCCTAAACCCCTAAACCCTAAACCCTAAACCCTATATAGACCCTAAACCCGGAATAAACTTCCGGAAAGCTCCAAATTGCCCTTGAAGCCAAGCAACTCCAGCAGCCGCTGGGCGTTGATCTCGCCGATCTCTGCGCCAGACCTTGCATTCCCCGGAACCCAGGCAGCCCAATAGTCCTTTAATTAAGAGATATGACTTAATTCATATTCATCTTGGGACCCTAGTACCATTTGGGGTATAGTCCTTGATTAAGGGGTTTGGGGCTCTCTGGGAACCTCTACGTACGTCCGTACAAGGTGCTGCATACTTTAAATGAAGTCTATTTGTAGCACCTATTTTGGCCATTTGAACTATAGTCTAAACTTCTCTATCTCCCCCTGATAAGCCTTATAATAGGAAGCCTATATCATCCCCTATATAAACCCCTTTAAGGAGTTTAGACCCTAAACCCTACATAAACCCCATATAACCCCCTTGCAAGGAATTTAGAAGCCTAGGGTTCCAAAGGGTTGCAACTGTTTGTATGCAGGATTGATTATACGAAGTTTAGGGTTTTGGTAGGGTTTAGAGTTAGCCGAGACTGTTAGGGCATGGCTATGACGGGAAAGGCGTTTGCTGGATTTGCAAAAAGGTTTGCAAGAACTCAGTCAAGCTTTTTACTCTAACAGAAGCTGCGAAGCCTGCCCAGCAAAGGAATTGGGAACTTAGATTTGTGTTAAGTACTCAGAGATAAGGAGCAGGAACAGAAGCTTGAATCATGCGCTTTTCGTTGGCAACCCGTCTGATGAGCCGAGAAAGCTACGACAACCAACAGTCGCAGTCATCATATGCGGGCCAAGCCACTAACACGACTTAAACCTAATCAACCTAAAACCTCTTGATTTACCCTGTAACCCCGATGTAGAAATAGAAAATCTTATACCTTGTTGTTCACGATCTGTTAATCATACTGATATAGTAATAGCAACTTAAGAATGATAACAATTAACACGAGGCCTCCTCAACCTTTGTAGTGCCATTCGGCACCCGCAACCCTTAGCTGCCGCCACGGTGCTGCATCACGGAGGAGGCCATACGATCTGAAAGAGTGTTGCCGCCCAAGGGAAACCTTGATCAGCATCTGGGGAGACTGAAGAAAGGGGTTCCATGAGTGGGATCCTTTTTCTAGGGGCCTCAACAACAGGGCCACAATGCTTCGAGAACGGGAAAGGCAGGAAGCACGGCAACCGCCGTCTGCACGAGAAGGACTCAAAAAACCTGAAACACCAAAACCACATCCCATTATACTTTCAGCACGGTGTACACCCAAGCATGCTCTGATCTCGAAATTTACACCCCCCATACATTATAGGTTGGGTACTGCCCCCACCCAGTAGCAGTCTATATGAGTGGTAGTAGTAAGGGCTATATATAACCATATTTATTATCCAACTGTCACTGAGGGGGGGCATTACCCAAATTATAGGGTTTTCAGGCTTTGAGGTGCAGGACTGAAAGTTTGGGGTATGCTCTAAGGGCAAGGATGTAGGGATCCCATGGATGGAAAAACAATACATGATCTATAGTCTAAACTCCTTAAAGGGGGGGTTATATAGGGGATTATGTAGGGGACTGCTATGGGGGTTATTAAGGGGGACCCTAAACCCTAAACCCTAAACCCAGGGATACTAGGAGTTTAGACAGTGGCTCACATGATCAATAGACCCTCTGAACCCAAAACCGTAATGCGGTATCCATGATCTTGTTCATTCCTATTCCTTACAGGCCCTCTTAGAGCTTCCTTCAGAAACATGACGAGTTCCTTACAAGAAGCAGCCGACAGCCCTTTCCCTGCCTTTGGTTTGGGGTTGAGGGTTTATGGTTTTGGTTCAGGTTTAGGGTTTGGGGCTTGATTGAACCATAGACTGTGTATTGGAGGAGACGCTACATGACTTGCTCTTGACGTCATTGATTCCTGGACCACTTCAATCTAGCTATGGGTTTGTCATGGCTTGTTTCCCTGTATAGAATCGAAAGGTTTCCACAGGGAACCCAAGAAGGCTGGATTGGAAGTTAAGCTGCCCTAGAACCAAAAACAGCTTTTGCAAAAGGGGGCTTCTGCAGTTTCTGGGCCCAGCCATAGTACCCTCCGAACTCACATGGAACCTGAACAAGAAGGTAGTGCAGTGGCGTGGCCTGAATGGCGACCAACATCATACTGGGGTCTGTTTGAAATACCTGTACCAAAATTGTACAAGGAATCTAGGCCAAGAAGATTGGTAAGCATTCAGGCTTTTACGCTGCCCTTGCAGACTGCTGTCCCTTTTGTTGTGGGCTACTAGTATCTGGATTTCCATGTCAGTTTGGGTGCCTTTGTTCCTACTGTTCAGCTTTCAGGAGACCCCAACATAAAAAGAAACCTAGATATCCCTCAATTAAGGAATATAGCTAAGTTCATATTAGGGACACTAGTACCATTTAGGTTCTATTACTTGATTCAGGGGTATTGGGCTCTCTGGCTTTTAAGGGGAGGCTGACCTGGGGGTTTCCCAAAATCAGGGGTACCTTTTGGGGTCCCCATAGTAAGGACTATGTATATTTTGGGGTCTATATTGGGGTCCTCCTGTTTTGGGAGACTACCACTTGTGGTGCCCTAAACTCTAGACCCTATAAACCCTAAAACCCTAAACCGCTTCATCTGAGGTACGGAATCTTTGCGAATAGCTTGGTATGAAGATCCGGCGCATCCTTCTCGTACTCAACCTCAGTCTGATGCATTGCTGGGTTGCTGTCAAGGAACGTAAAGTATAAAGGGACTATATAAGGTTATAGGGATTACATGGGTTTAGGGTTAAAGGTTTAGGAACTTGAACTAAGTTACCGTAATGGGTGTGCATATATATATATATACATGTGTGTAGCAAAGAATAAGGTTTCCCCAATATGGTAACTTGTAAATCCTTAACAGCAACCCAGATCACGCCCGTGACTATCGGGCATTGTAAATGCCTACTGTTGTCAAGTTCTTAGAGTTCTGCATGGGTGGGAGTTCCAGCATTCTCCCAATCAAGGTCAGCAGTTAGGGATTACAATGCTATCCCCTCAAGATTACCCCCAAGATTTGAAGTCCCATTAGGCCTTAATGACCTTTGTATACTTCTTAGGAACTGCTTAAACCCTGGGAAGTGTACTTTTTGGGTGGGATGGTATAGAAATTCGCAAGACAGACAGTGTTTTGGTGCCCCCTTGGCCAGCAAGAATCTTCGCATATATATATGTATATATATAATATATATGTGTAGGTATTTGACCTTCACATTAGGAACCAGTCAAGCTTCCAAAATGATTAACCGGGCTTTGTGCACATAAATGTGTGACATAAACTAATATCTATACATATATATATACACCTATCATTCATTCATACATACATACATACATACATACATCTGCATGTCTGCGTGTGTACATACAAATATATTGACTAACTCTGCGAAGGGCTATAAAGGCTAGCAGCGGTGTGCTGACTTCCTTGCTGCATAGTGATGATTTACCTGTTGGATTGGTGTAGGTCTGGGCTTGGGGATATTTCTTCGCCCTACACGAGGAATGGACATGTCCGCCATCACAAACTGGCTTCCTGCATCTCATTACACAGCATGGACTGGAGATTGCCATGGATGTCGTTGAGGAGCCTAAACTTTTATCACCATAGTATTGGCACATGTTAAATGGTGTGGACTTCTTATGGTGCTTACTGCAAACTGCTTCGAATAGCAACTGCACACCTACATACTCTATAATCCTGATGTCCGTGTCTTTCTCCATGTGCTTTTCCATAGTCCGCGTGGTCCCCTAAACAAAATAGGTTTGAGTTTGAGCTCTTTAACAGCATCCCGCTTGCTCAAGGAAAAAACTCCTGGGACCTTTCCAATGCGTCACACGCGGCGCGGGCAGCAGCAACTCACTGCGACCAGCTGCAGGGGCTCAAACGATTACAAAAAACCTGGAGAATAACATTAAAAAGAGAGGACAACTGACGTTCTATAGGAGGCCACATATAGGCATTATGTGAGTAGCGTCATCTTTGGCGGTTGAGACAAGTAAGGCTATAGCATATTGTTCTGATTCACAATAGCCAAAAGAGAGGATACGTTCTTACCCCCTAAATCTATTGGGCAGACCCAAATGAAATGCTGCTGTGTTAGGGTATGCGCTTTGAGTAGCGTGCTGTTGGTCTGGATCGTTGGGAAGGAACTTGTACAGCTGTATCGCTATCTGTGATTCCAAGCTGCTCCGCTTGGAATTTTGGAATGCATCCGAGCGACATCGAAAACCAATTTTGCGCAATTGCCGCCTCCAATGTACTCCTGGGCAAGGGACTCAGCATGTACCTCCAAAAGGGTTCTCGACGTATACCCCATCCGCAACATCTCCTGAGAGGGTTGTCGCCAAAGAAAATTCAAGCGGTTTTCGCAATGTATACCGTCTGCACCATCTCATTGCAGGATTTTCGCCGGGCCGAGGAATTTCGAAAAGAAGTTCTCGCCATATAGACGGTCCGCAACATCTCAAGAGGGTTTTCACGGAGAAATTTGAAAACACACACCAGTACGCATGGATTAAAGCATCAGGCGTGCATCTCCAACCTAGGGTCCTCAAACCTCAAGTATGGGCCTGTTGAAGGGTCCTGTGGGCCCTGAATTGAGTTGCAAGAGTTTTTTCATAGGTGTATAGGGACCCATGGTTAACAGAAAGGGGCAGGTAAGTTACGATTTGCGTTGGAAGTAACTTCTACGCTGGGCAATGGCAAAAATATACGAGTAGAGGCACTGCCCTGTAGGGCCACATGCTGTGGGCCCATACTTACCCTAAACCCTAAACAAGCTTGGATCAAGGTCTAAACCCCAACATATAAACCCTATAATCCTTGTAGTATCCATTTTCTTTTTCATTATCCCAATATAACCCAATATGACCCCTATATTGGGGTTATATACCCGTAAACCCTAAACCCAGTCCTTCACATTTTTCAGCGCCTTCACCTTGTTGTCTTCTGGGATGGAGCCTTGGTGGGCTCGCGGCTCAGTAGTCCCTAAGGCCCTGAAGAGTTCAAATTACCCATGCTTAGGGTTTTGGAGTTTAGTGTTTCCTAAACCCTAAACCGCTAGGGGTTTGGGCTGTAGAGTTTAGGTTTTAGGGGGGTTAATCGGGAATGCTTATCCAAACCGTATGGAAAGATCCTAGTACAGAAGCCATACCTCTGTACTATGTAATGTAGGGGCTTAAATGCTTAACCAAATCATGTTGAAGTACCCTAGACCATACGTATACATACAAGGAATCTAGCACTACAATATTGGCAAATATCTAGGCCCTTTACAGTCAGTACTTTAGAGTCTTTGGGAGTAAGGTTCAAAGTGGCGGACTCGAAGGCGTTGGGTTTGAGGTGTAGGCTTCAATGTAACTGTGGCACTTTGGACCCTAGTAAAAGTTGACGTCTAGGTACCTATAATAGGAATTCAACCGAATCCCAAAAAATTAGGGGTCTCAGGTCTAGGCTGAGTGCCAAGGTGGTAATTTACGGTTTAGCGTCTAGGGTCTGTTCATACTGTGCGTAAGGCTTGGAGACTTAGTTCAGGGTTGAATGTGTGTATAGGGTTTACCGAAAGAGCCCAGTACCCTTCATTAAGGAATATACCTTACATCATCTATTTGAGCTATAGTCTAGACTCCTAGTATCCCCGTTAATAACCCCTATAGTAGTCCCATATAAAATCCCCTATATAACCCCCTTTAAGGAGTTTAGATTATAGTTCATTTCAGGTATATTCCTTAATCAAAGGTGATTGGAATCTCTGGGTAGGTGAACCGGCCAGGATGGCTGAGGGATTGGAGTCTTGCCGCTGTTTTATTGTTTGCTGACCGTGTGCTTTCCGCAGCCAAGTTTGTTTGGCTGTTGTGCGTCGAGCATGTACTGGATAAGCCATAAACCCTTGACCCCAAACCCTGAAATCCGAACTCAACCCGGAACCCCTATAATCCCCCTTAAGTAGATAGAATATGGGGTATATGGGGATCTTATTATAATATACCCAAAGATATATTCCATCTACTTAAGGGGGACTATAAACCCTGAACCCCAAACCGAGAGATTCTAACCTTGTAGAAGCGGCCGATACTGTGAAGTTTCAAGACTGCAGAGTTGCTACGCAGTTTAGGGCTTGGGGTTTAGGGTCCAGGGGTTTTCGATTAGGGGTTTAGGGTAGTTACGAAATTATAAGCCACCATAGCAGGGAAATAGTGTGAAACATATGGCTCATGATTATGGTAACTTAGTGTAAGTTCCTTAACAACAAGAAAGTTTAGGTTCAGTGCTTGCACAACAGTTCATGGAGCGGGGCTTCAGGAACCTGTACCCAACACCTACCACTGGAAACCGGTCCTGAAGGATAGTAGAAGCCTTCTCTTCCATCGTGGGCCAGAGGAAGCAGTAGAGCAAGCTGTTGAGAACGCGTTGCAGAGAATCCACCCAGCCTGAGGACGCCGGCACTCTCTTGCATCCTTTTTTTCTCCACCCCTTTCTCCCCCAGAAAGGACCAGAATGCCTCGAGATGCTCCGCTGTCAGGTACTCTTGCACCGTATCGAATGGACCACCTCGGTGCTCGTCCATCCACCCGGCAATCAAGAGAAAGCGATTCCAACAGGCAGCCGCCACCCCATCGCTTAGACGTGGGCTGCGGAGACGTCCGTACGTCGCGTGCACGGCTCCGGCTAGGTCGTGCCCTGGGTCGTCCTGGCAAGTTCATGGAATGGAACTCCACAAAACGCTCTCTGAACTGCTGCCGCCCTCCACATCAACCACAGGATCATGACAGGATCCACTTCTGCCTCCTCTTCCTCTCCGCCCTCCTTAGCGACCTGGACTGGAGCCACCTGACAAGTTCATGGACTGGGGCAAAATGCACTTACAGTTCATGCACTCCTGGGCCATGTTCTGCAGGGCGGTTGCATCGTACCGGTTCCTCAACGCTTTCTCGTGCGTCTGAGCCGGGAACACACCGATGGAGCCACCATGCGTCCACCAGCTCATAGTGATGCCGTTGTAGAAGACCGGAATAATAACCTTCTGATTCGGCTCCTCCTGGCCATACAGGGTATGGTAGAGTTTCCCTGTGTTCTCGTTCAAGGAGATCACGAGGATGGCGCGTCCCAGAATGTGCGACGTGGCCAGGATGGCGATCTCGTCTGCCCAGGTACCATCCTCGGACATGCTACGCGCCCAGGCCTCCTCCTCGCCGAGGTCCGCTAGGCCGTGGTTGACCGCGTACTCGACGGCCTGCCTGCGCAGTGCAAATGAAACATGATAAGGAATGTCAAAAGACAAGCTTTAAAATGAAGATGATGAGGTGATGATGGAGATCCTCTGAGACTAGAGTTCTTAGACGGGAAGCTTGGATGTTGCACAGTTCCAGCACCTGCTCTGGCTCGGACTCGTACCAAGGGTGGATGAGAACACTGGATAGGGCGTAGTCTTGAACTTCAGGATTTGGCTGGATTTTGTAAACACGAACCCCAATGCCACTGTGGTCGCTGAAGGCCTGGAGGGTGAGGCGGTCCCCCCACTCCCCATCCTTCAGGACTTTGCTGACCCATTCCTCCCAGCTCTCGTCGAGGAAGTTATCATAGAAGCCCCTATTGGCCGAAAGCTGGGCGTACACACCCACACGCATCTCCAGGATGTTCTTGCAGACGAAGATGCCTTTGTGCTTGGCTGACTCCAGCAACGACCCGTATTGGCAATTGCCGTCCCCGACAACGGCGGCTCTCTTTTTGCCAACCTGAGCCAGGAGCCGATCCAGCTCCTGCTCTACACAGGATAAGGTGGAAATGGAGGGTAGGATAAGGTGATAAATTATGACCAAGCATGGCTTTCTTCACCTAATCAAGCCAAGATAAGGTCTCCTAAACAGCCCTCCTGAGTAACCTTCTCCCAAATAAGCTCTAAGAATAGAGAAATCTTGCACCGGTCCATCCTCGTACTGCGTCAGGAGCTCCTCATGCTCCTGCTGCGATTGACCGATCGCCCACGCCACCATCTGTTCTTCGGTCATTCCCATCACCTGGAAGCTTACTTTACTATTCATTCACAAGCTCTACCAATCTGAAAACGAGTCCCATAACACTGCCTAATGCAATCCCAGAAGCAGTAGACAAGCTCAGCGAGGACATGGTGGCTATGCAACAATGGGGGAGAATGCAATGCTTTGGACACTCAAGGCTGAGGCGTGCAAGAGAAGTTTCAAAACGATATCATCATGAACATTTCAACCTTATCATCCCTCCTAGATGGTCAAAGAATGGACTGACCCTGCTAAGTAGCTAGATACCCTCGACTAGTGAGCATACGCACTGACCCCAAGACGGCTGCTAGGTGCTCAAGACCCAGGTGTCCTACAGCCCATCTGAGTCAGTCCATTGTTTACCCACCACTCTGGGCTAGGTATCTCTATGCCAGTCCTCAAGTCCTTTTGCAGGCAGGATAAGGTTCAAAATCTGTGTGTCCGTTTGCAAATATCAACCTCATCATTCACTGGTAGGTGAAGAATTGCACTCCTCAATTTCCACCTCATTCCGAAAATGAGGTGATGAAACTCGGTCATGTTAACCTCCTTCCAAAGGCTGATGGCCAGTAGAATTTTATCCGCAATAGCCCGGCAGGACACTCACGGGAGCGCCTGGGCTGTTATAGTCCCGCGACTTTGTTACTGAGCCATGCCGACTAAATACACCATCAGTGGACCAATGAAGCCCCAGCATTAACAAAGAAAGGCTCCCTCAACCCAGCGATGCGTGCATTACAGTGGGCATGTAGACAAGGCCCAGAAATGGAGTGGGGGTGCTGGACGCCAAACCCTAAGCCCTAAACCAGCTGGTTCGGTGGAGGACGGGTTTAAGGAAGTCCCCGACTATGGAGTGTAATGCTAGTACAGTGAAAAGGTGAAGGCAAACCAGGCTGCGTTTGAGGTGTGACGCTCGCTTAGGACTTCCAAGATGACTCAAAAAAAACAGTACCAGCGAAGTCCTCCACCACAGTCTTCATACAAACCGGCCGCCTTGCTCATCTTTTGAAAGAACCCAAACGACGTGAAACATTGAGAGGTCAAAGTAGATTTTGCTGCGCTGTCAATCTTGTGCAAACTGCGAATTGTTCGCCATGTGTCCAGGACCCCGTGGAAGTCCCATAAACCCTAAAGCCAGAGAGCCCAATACCCCTTAATTCAGGAATATAATACCCTAAATGGTACTAGGGTCCCTAATAGGAACGAAGCTGTATTCGTTCATTAAGTGGTATTGGGCTCCCTGGGAACCTCTAATTCAATTCTCGTTGTCTAAACTCCTAGTATCCCCCTTAACAACCCGCATAATACTACCCTATATAATCCCATGTAACCCCCTTCAAGGAATTTGGACTACAGCTCAGTTCCTGATCAAGGGGCGCGCAGTGTGGAAGGCTTTCGTTAGCCATGCCGGACCCATCTTCTGAAGAAGCTCCTCAAGCATACTATAGTTGAAGCTCCTTAACGCGGATTCTATAGGGGATTTATATAAAAGTATCAAAGGGGTTATTGACATGGCCGTTTCAACAATACCAGCAACATATTGCTTGCCCGCGCACCGAAAAACATTGCAGCTGCCACTAACGCACCCCCACCCCCACCCCTGCCGCCACAGCTAAGTTGAGGGCCTTAAGATTCCAGGTCTCACGGGCCCCGAAGGTGTAACTCCGCACAAACTTTACCAAACCAAAGCTATAATGCTTAGGTCCAATCGACGAAGCAGGCCAACAAGCGAGATCCCGCCCTTGCTAATATTAAGTTTCATCGATGGTCTGGTCGGAAAAGAAACTTCCATCTCGCACTTTTAGCACGTCAAGGTTCGTAAATGTTTGAACTTTGAAGACCGTAAGATTTAGGGTTTAGCGTCCTCTTGCTCTGATATTTACATCTAGAGGCTCCAAGCCGTGAATCCTCGAAGTCTAGTTTCCACCGCAACGCTTGAGCTGCAATGCCTCCTCAAAAGCTGGTAGACCCCAACATAAATTCCAATATACTAAACCCTTAACTTCAGGATGCCAAAAAAGGGACCACTAATTTTAGGAACCGTTTTTTTTAATCGAATGAGAAATTGAGCTCATCAAAAAGACCGCCTACTACACCTCATCCACGGGGGCCCCAAAAGAGATGGCCCTTAGCGAACCCAGGAATGCATGGGGATGACCCGACGAAGGATTACACATGGTTATTTCAACAGTTCCTATGTGCCTATACATCACCGTCGCAAAGCACGCCAAGCAACGGCTGTGAAGGGGAACTCCATGTTGTACATGACACCAGGAGCCTGCAGAAAAATGCATGTCCTCCTGTTATCACTACCCCCATTCTTGATGTCAAAAATGTGTGGTCCCAAGTCGGGGTTTCTCGTGTCACACGACCCCTAGTACGTAGGGCACCCGGAAAGAGACCAGAACTCTGTCGATCCCCCACGTGAGGCAGAGGCTTGACTCTTTACAACCATTAGCCCCTCAGTCTTGAGCGGTTTTTTTCAGGAATAGGGGGCCCTACACACCCCAGTATACTACAAGCCTTATCATGTATGCTACAATCCTTCTTATAAGTCCCCCCCAAAAAGTCCCGCCAACTACTGGAAAATCCCCAACTGAACCCTCAACCCTGAACCCTAAACCTTTGCGGACCCAGGTTGGACTTGCATCGTTTGGAGGGCTCCTGTTAGTTTAGGGCCTAGGGCTTAGGACTTATAGGGCTTAGGGTTGAAGAGGCTTTGCTTTTTTCTTGCCGTATACAAGCACCCCCCCCCAAAGAGACAAGATTAATCTGGGAAGCTCCGAGATCAGATCATAACCGGTTTTAATCCTAAAACTCAACCCCTGAACCGTGAGGTCCTTTAGAGACAGCCTGGCTAAGCAATTCGAAGCAAATCCAGCCCACGGACCTTTGAGTTACAAAGCCGATCTCCTGTAGACTCGTGCACTGTGCTGTATTCCAGGGGCTCAAAGTCTATCAGCAATGCCTACATAGGGCGCTTCTATCTATAGATCCTGCCTGCATCGCGTAGGATACAGGAACCCTAAACCGTGAACAAGACGAATCGAGCCGATGACACGAAAGACCGACAGGCTAGCGTATGCATTGACCTGAGGCCAAGAACACCTTGAGCCGAGTTGCCAGCTAGGCTTTAGGTTGTACGCTTCAGGGTTAAGAATATTGGTTTAGGGATGTTTAGAGTTTGCAATGTTTAGGGTCGAGGGTCAGGCGTTTCAAACGCATGCAGGAAATCTCAAGCAGGCGTGGGGAGCTATAGACCTTCCTTCCAACAAAGATCAAAGGTTGCACCCGAGAACCCTGCGACCAGTTTGCCAAAAACCACCTACAACTCTCTGCTGCTTTAGGGTTTAAGGTTTAGGGTTGATTAGGCCCCGTTTCCTAGACTAAAGCCCTAAACCCGAAGCCTGCACCATAGAACCCTGAACCCTATATAGATCTCTACAACCCCTTTCATGGGACCCTAAACCCTAAACCCTAAAGGCAAGCGGCCAACTTCTGATGGTTGTTCTGGAGCTGGTCGTGGCTAACTGGCTGCCTAGGCGGCTGCCAACACATTTCTACATTTTTGGGGATGTTTAGGGTTTAGGGCTTAGGGTTTAGGATCCCCATAATATTAAGCATTATAATTATGGAACTTGGGGTCTAAATTGGAGGCCGCCTATTTGGGAAACTACCAAAATGCGGTGTCCACAAATTGGAGTCTGTCTTCTTGGGGACTCAGGGGACATCTTGGGGCAACCTACGGAGGATGAGGTCCCTAAGAACTGAATGATTCTTCCGCGCATATTTGAACAACAACCCGCATGGTGGCTGTCAACATTTTTGGGTTCTCATAGGGCCGGAAGCCCTCTCAACCGTAAGCTTGTGCATCATCCCAGAATATGGTGCCATAACTGGATGCAAGCGGCATTTTGTCGAGCTTCACAGCGCTAGCTCGGAAAGTTCACGGGGAATGCATACAGCTTTGTCAACATCCAACTGCAAGGCAAAAGGTCACAGGTTGTCAGGTTGTTGTTACTTTTAAATAGACGCATAGCAGAAATCAAAAATGAAACGTGCTTGCTACTGACCATCCAAGCCGCCAGAAAACAGGCCCCTGGCAAAAGAGCGCACGTCAAAGCAAAGATCGTATGCGTTCTCTGCATTGCTTACATTGGGGTGTTGGGGCTATAGATTGCGAAGCTACCATGGTCATGACATGTTTGTGCAACTTTTGGTTTTGTCAGGCTTTGAGCTGAGCTCTGTCAGGGTTCGGCAGAATTTGTAAGGGTAGCAGTATGGGCGACGCGTGAGAAGACTCCATACCGATGTCTTTATTCGCATTTACAAAACAGCAAGTCAATCGGTGATGGCTTGGGTGCAGAATTCTGATCGCCTCCATGATTTCTGCTTCATTGCGGCAGTTCCAGATAAGTTACACGAGCCCTCAGCAAGTTTGCAAGCTCTACGAAAACATGTAAACATGAAAAATGCGGTGCAGTTTTGGTGGCGGTCAGAACCAGCAGTGCTCTTGTCTTACCATGCTGCTTGCATCAAATCCATCCTTTTGGTTTTCCATGGCTGCCCTCCGCGACCGCTTGTGCTATGGAAGGCTTGGGGGCCCCATAAAATCTGAATTTGTATGGCTCTACAAGAATTCTGTAGGGAGTGACAAACCCACCCCCGCGTAGCCGCCTTTGTCAGCTCGTGTGCACATCGTGGCTCGGAGTCCTGAATGTTGGCTCCATGTGCTTGGATAA